GGTGGCCGGGTCATGACCGTCGTCCATACTTCCGGTGTGCATCACCTACCTATCGTCTTCTGTGGATGTTCTGGTGCAGCAGCCGAGGACATACAGTTGTTCCGGGTTGGGTTGTACCCATCCACCTACAAGTCTTGCCAGACCGTATTTACCTTCCAACTCCTCGATGACTACCTGCTGGAAAACCTGGAATGTAAAACATCGGCCACCCACTACTACTCCAAATTGAGAAGGATCACCAACTTTGCATTTCCTAATTCCATTCCGGTATGTTGTTCAAGTACCTCGTATACTCCCATCTCAAAACGTTTGACAGAACCGGTATCACGAGTTAATAAGGGTTGGTAGACAATACCATAATCTTACCGAACTGGCTACTTTTGGATTTGGACACAAAGGTAAGGCTCCGACGCCGGGGGAGATGGGTTTTTTTTGCCCTACCTGCCCACAACCGGGAGTCAACCTTCCTGATGACTGGAACAAAAACCCCAATGATCCTACTAACTGGAAGTATACCAGAGGATTTGTAGCCGATGGCAATTTCACAGCAGCCCACCAAAAACAGGCACGGCCCAAAGACGATGTTTGGCTTAAAAATGGGGATAGTTTCATGACGCAAAGAGGACCTTATTTGAGCCACCTTCGGGAGGCGATTGAAGATAATGATGTAAGTTTTTATCCTTCGAGCGACTCGGCCGGTGTCTGAATCTTTCAGCCGAGGACATGTCATGAGCACAATGCTATCAACAACAAGAATGTATTTCACCGAGGTTTTGACGCTACTGGAATTGGAGCCATTGCTTGCCTTCGACATGGCACCTTTTGTCCGGGTTCGGTGGTAGATTTTCAAAAGGGAGAACGGTATGCAAGTTATCCTCGGGTTGAATCGTTGATTTACCAGACAGGCAAATGAACATGGACTATGCCTTGTGCCAGGCTCTGAAGAATACCATGACCGGTGAAGAAAAAAGGGTTATTTTTGTCTATGACATCAACTGCCAGTATATGGTGAATTTGATGGCTCGGATAAAACGTGGTGCGAAACACCTCTGGATCAGACCAGACTTGTTATTGGTAGCCGGGATCGGCTTATTCCATGTCCATGGCCATCAAGAAATATGCTTTCCACGATTTGCCCCAACATTCATCCCC